GATATTTATTTCCGAATGAAAAATGGTCGCGGCTTTTCTAAATTAAATTTTATATCCGTTCCATGTCGAACTCGCTACGGCATTCGTCAACCCATTTATTCGTATCAGATAATTGTCGCATGTTAGTGAGGAAAATGGTAATTTTGCAAACAATACATCCCGTTGATTTAGTTAAATTTTAAAATGTATTGGATGTTATTTAAAAGTTTCGGTTTAATTTAACTTGCTACGTGTACGTGAAATTTGATATTTATTTACTTATTATTTTCTAAAAAAAAAGCATTATCCTCTACACAAAGTAATATTTGTTGAGTATTTCGAAAAACTTGGAACTAATTTATACTGCACAGGGTGCTGATTAAGAATTTTTTTTAAATAATTAGAGATACCAAACTTTGCTCGAGGACCTCTTCTACTGAGACGTCAAATAATCTATTAAGCAATAGTCAATAGCATCATATACCGAAAATTTCACTTCGAAACCGATAATGTACTTGTGAATATGGGCAGCTTACTGAGTGATTAAATTATCAACTAACTTATTCACAACCAAAAATCAAAAATCCCCTGGAGAAGATCAAACAACCTCAGAAATGTTGAAAGTAATTGGAGAGAATCGCATAAAAGCAGTTGAAATATTATTAAACAACATAATGCAATGGTTGTGTTGTTATATAAAAAAGGGGATATCACAAACCTCCAGAATTGCCAGCCTATTTGTCGGCCTGCTTTCTTACCTACAGCTCACAAGCAGCCTTCCGCAAAACATTTAGCTCTGTTGACGAACTACACAACTGATCGGAAACACTACTGAAGATAACATTCTGTTATCTATCAACAGGCAGAGTTTTATATCAAAATAGATGACAACCTGAAAACTAAACAGGGCAAGGAGTAGGGCAAAGTTATGGGCCTGCTGTACCTATTTGCCGTAGCGTAGGCTACCTTCCTCCATTTACAGATACAGATGGCCAAATATTGAAATAAAAATAAATGGCGGACGTTTACATCATATGAGGTTCATAAATGATATCATATTAATAAGCTCCGATATCGAAGTCTTAAAAAATATGTTGTCATAATTGAAGGAATCATCTAAGCAATTTGGCGTGAACATCATAGAAATAAATGAAACCACTATAGAGATCGTAGAACAATACATACTTATATTTAGGACATATTAACAATCGCTAAAGAAAACCAAAATATCCATAGCTCTTAAGAAAAATGTAAAAAAGTGTACTGAAAAACTAAAACACTAAAAGGTGAAATACTTAACAAAATCATTAAAGAGGGAGTTTAAGTGGCAGTGGGTCTACCATACTATGGACCACAACCGAAAGAGATTAACTATAAAAATAATCCAATGGAGGCCACGCATAAGTAAAAGAAATAAATGAGGAAAAAGAAGATCTTATAACAAATATTTAAAGCAATTTTCCATATATATGATATAAGATATATGCTCTCTAGCATATATCAATTACAAGCATATACCAGATTTACGAATTTCTTGCGTATTGGATATTGGTACGAAATTAAAGTCCCGTTAAAAATTTTCTCTTTATTTTACGACTCATTGGAAACATCAAAATTAACATTTTTGGAATGCCATAATAATCACTATCTTAGGTAATTTTGAGAACGCCCGTATTCTAGATAGCTCATTCGCAAGGTATTTTACAGAAACACAAATAATACCTTTTATATTAAAAAAAAACCCTGCATATTGAATACCAAAAATGTTCAATATTTAAGTTAGCCGGGGATGGGGCGGAATTTTAAATATTAAACGAAAACCATAATTATTCATTATCGCTCGAAGTGAGAGTTTGCGCACGCGTGGCTAGTGCATAATTGGGTATTTTAGAGTAAAGGGCAGAAAATAAATGTTAAGACGGAAAGTATCACTAAAGTGGGATACATAAATTTGACCAGTGTTTTTCTTGATAAATACCGAGAAAACGAAAGAAAAATTCGAACAAAACTTGACTTTAATATGGCACAGAATCCGAATCTACAATAAAAAATAGGGGTTTGTTTTTAAGATTTGAATGTTACCCCGTCCCTGCCAGTAATGGTTTGGGATGGTGTTATTGAAATTTTTTGTCCTTGAATATTAAAAGGTAGTTTATTGATTTTTCTCAATTGTTCTTTCTATACTTTTGTGCACTGGTGTACTTAAATGTTTTTAATTATTTCAAGAAAATTACTCACCTGTCAATTACAAAAACATTTTTTGGCGTAAACAAAATTTTTATGTAAAACTTCATTAATCTTTTGCAGCATATACATGTTATTTATTTATAAACAAGTTTTTCCTACAGACAGAGGCATCTGTCCAATAAATGGAAAACACAAAATATTACAGCAAGTGGACTAGTTGTAATTATTCGTTATTAACAAAACCAAATTTAGAACTAATTACAGGTTTTAATTGCAAAATGTGTGGTTTTGAAGGCTGCAAAGCTTACAGCAAATAAGTTAAGGTACAGAAACTCGCTCTCAGCTCTGTTATAATTATTTTTTTGTTTTATATTATGTTTTACAGTGTACCTAAAGTAAAATAATTTACATAAATACATATCTTAAATTCCATTTTGAAAAATAGTATCAATTCACACCTCTCTAAAATGTCCACTAGAAACTATTCACAAATCTTCCTAACGTTTAGCCAATCATCTTCTTGACTTCTTCAGAGGTTTAATTAAGCTATTCTATTCTGTATGTACATTACAACATTGTCTACGATGACGAATTCCCATATTGTTAAATGTTAATTGTGTTCGGCAACTACTGCTGAGTTTATTTGTCTTTGTCTTAATGCTCTTTCATGTTCCTTTAGCCTAATTGATCATCACTTGATCATCATAAAAATCCAAAACGCGAGCCTATTTCAGTTAAACTCTGAAGATGCCAACACGATGATTGGCGAAACATCAGCAATCCATAATATTTGTAAATAGTATTCCGGTAGCCTGTAGAGGTTTCTTAAAAAAAATATTCCATCGTGATATCTCCAATGATTTAAAAAATAAATATAAGGGATGTTTTTTTCGATGTATAGAACTTTAAGTTGCAATAAAACAACGATGGATTATTCAATTGACGTGACTTTTATTTATCCGAAAGATAATCTTTTTAACATTTAACATTTTAAATATGATTTCTGGCTGGCGGGGATGTAGTCCAATCTGGATGTCCAATTTTCGATGACTTTTTCCAACATTTGTGGCCCTATATCGGCAATAACACGGCGAATGTTGTCTTCCAAATGGTCAAGCGTTTGTGGCTTATCCGCATAGACCAATGACTTTACATAGCCCCACAGAAAGTAGTCTAGCGGTGTTAAATCACAAGATCTTGCAGGTCAATTCACAGGTCCAAAACTTGAAATTATGCGGTCACCAAACGTGTCTTTCAATACATCGATTGTGGCACAAGCTGTGTGACATGTTGCGCCGTCTTGTTGAAACCACATCTCCTGGACATCATGGATCACCATTGACTGTAACGTTCTGGCCATCATCGTTTTTGAAGAAGTACGGACAAATGATTCCTCCAGCCCATAAAGCGCACCAAACAGTCAGTTTTTCTGGATGTAACGATGTTTCGACATACACTTGAGGATTAGCTTCGCTCCAAATGCGGCAGTTTTGTTTGTTGACGTAGCCATTCAACCAGAAGTACGCTTCATCGCTAAACAAAATTCGCTTATGAAAATGGGAACCACGGCAATCTCGTTTTGGGCCCATTCGACGAATCTACGCTTTGCTTGATGATCGTTTTTCTTCAATTCTTGCAGGAGTTGGATTTTGTAAGCACGTAAATCAAGATTTTTCCGCAAAATCTTCCATAAAGTGAATGGACACAGATCCAATTCCTGTGCTCGATGGCGGATGGACTCATTCGGGTCTTCCTCAATGCTACGCTCTACAGCAGCAATAGCTTCTTCTGTACGCACCGTACGACGTCTCTGGGGATGCGAGTTATCGATAAAAGTAAACGTCGTGCGCAAACGTTCCATGGTTGTGCGCGACACGTATTCAGCGCAGAACCATTATTTTCGAAATAAAATTGCACTATTTGCAAGCGTTGTTCAGGCGTGAGTCTATTCATGATGAATTGCCAAACCAAACTGAGAATAAATCACTTGACAGCTGTTAAATCGGTCGCAATCTTGAACAGTAATGCCAACTGAAAGTTCTATACATCGAAAAAAAACATCCATTAGTTAAGAGGGATACTTATAAAATTACGGTGCTTTCCATAAAGGTAATGATAATGTAGAAACAAAGAAGTACACAATGTTGGATATGTTATACTAAAACTTGATATTAATGATTCAAAAATTTAATACCCCGTCAATAATGAAATAAAATAACTTGTTAAGGGATCATTTTATTTCCAATTGATCAATTATTCATGCTTATCGCTATAACCAACTTGACTTGATGCATGTTGAATGTTTTACTTACCGCTTACGTTTAAGTAACAGTGTCGCAAAGCTAGAAAGATGTTGCACATTAATTGTTACTACGCCTAAATGTATTAATAACTGTTCGTATTTTTAGTTACTTCAGGTGTTTGGTAAAATTTTTTTTTTTATATATTTGGTTTAGTCGTTATCTTATTTCAGAAAATAATTGAATTGAAAATAAATCTGTTAATTTTAATGGTGCGAATGTGGAAAGTGTCATATCGATCCTACTCATTCGACATAGTGGACGACAGTTTCCATAGTTACTTCCTAGTTTGATAACATCTCCCTCCAATGCTCAATGACCCATCTAAAGAAAACTCAGATATTATAACTTAATCCATCAGTTACCTCTGAAAACTCCTATTGCCTATTCATGATTTGCACGTGTACGTCACTACACTTTCCACATCTGCACGTGCAACTTCCCATTACGCAAATTCAATTAGACGCGCTACTTTCTGAGATAAGAATTAAGCCGCCATCGTCATAATATTTCGTTAACCTATTACATTCCAAGGACAAGGACGGAAACATACTGAGCAATTTCCTGAGCGCCGTCAACGGCGTTGGATCCGCTGGCCAGGATTTCCTCAAAACGATCGAAAAAGCGCAAGATGTCACCCTCTTCGCACCTTGCAATGAGGCCATGGAAGGCAGTCTCGTCAATTCGATGCTCAAAAACGCCGACAAGTTTATGGAAATACTGAAAATGCACGTGGTTGTGGACAACAGATTGTACGCCGATATTATCGACCAGAAGGTGCAAAACAACGTGAGTAATTAAATTTATTTTATTTATATGATAATATAATGTAATATATTTATTGTCTCAAATATTAAGAATACAGTAACGATAAATATGTCCGGTTTTAAGAGGTTTTGAATAATATTTTTCCTCAAGCTGTACCAGTCCAGACTGAGAATACTTGAAATCAGATAGATACAGGATAGATATTTTATGTTTACCACCATATCCCTGTGAGCTTAACCCTATAGACGTGGTATAGAACCAAGTAAGCGATATGTGGCAATTAAAATTGTAGTAATTACGTTCCAAACTGAAAAAGAAATGTTGTAAGCTGACAATTTCCAAGACAACCAGGATGACGTTATTATTAGCTTAAATTCTGTTCAGTTCTGAGAACGATATTGACATTTACATACGGTAAAGTAAAAATATTGAGATAAAATTTGGACCCGGGCCGCGTAATTTGTTTGAGATCGGATCTGATTAGGCGGTGCGTTCCTTAATATTCCACACTGTATTGAGAAAGATCACATCAAGCGGACCCCCCATTTTCCACTTGATCATAAAAAATTAATCTATATTTTTTGTAAGTACTTATGATGGAAAATTGATCCCTCAAACGATTTTTTAAAATTTTGATTTTAACAACTTTTTTTTTATAATGAAAATTTTAAGCACTTTGAATTAAAAAATAGATTAAAAATTAATCAAAAATCAAATCAAATCATCCACGATCAAATGTCTATACTTTAAAATTAAAATTATTTGTTTATTTCCGTATTGTTAACTAACTTTTAAGTTAACAAATGAAAATTTAACTGATTTCTTGGTAAAAAAATCATTTTTTACCATTTAAGTTTAAGATTTCGGAATAAAATTTCACTGCTCGTCATTAATTTTGGACAAAATGAATTTATTTATGACAGCGCTATGGAGGCGCCGCGCTGCCGAGCGTCTCGAACTGGTAGTTAAGCGTTCGAATCGAGGTTGGTTTTTTTTTAAAGAACTTTGGGTCCACTGAAAAAAGGAAAGTGGGGTTGTTATGTGCTTGTTTTTATCACGTTGGAGACTAGCAGTATAAGCTTGTCTTTTTACAGTCCCTGCTAAGCCATCACACGCTCCTTTTCCATGAGATGTAGCGAAAAAAGTTAAATCAGCATCAACACCAAAATCATTTTTATGATTAACTCAATTGGCAAAATTATATTTAAATAATAATTAAAACTAATTTTCTAATCACATAATTTCATAATTCACTCGGCCCATTTTAAATCACAGAAAATATTATTATTACAATTAAAAATTATAATACTAAAATATTAACTAAAAAAACACAACTTAACAACACTTCAGCTTTTATTTTTAATAGTTATTTCATGCTTTACGTATAAACTTATGTCACGAATAGATAGCAATTACTTCTAAAATGATTTTGTTATTTACTAGGATACGCGAAAAACAAATTAAAATCGTAACGGAGCGGTTTTTCTTCTGTTAACTAAAGATGGAGCGTTGACAAATAAATTTAAAAATAATAATTTAGTAAATTGCTAAGAAAAAATAAATATAGACCATAACAATTTTAAAAATTTAAAGTGGATTATTTTTTTCTAAGTTTACGCTATTTGGTAAAAATAATAAAAACATTTGATAGTATTCTTTATAACATTGTTAAAAAAATAGGATTTTATTAATAATTATTATAATAAAATAGCATAAATAATAATAAAATTTGTTTTATAATAATATTTTGTATTATTATTTTAAATTCTCACTGATAAAATCTTCAATGCAGTTCGAGACGCTCGGCAGCGCGGCGCTTGCACAGCGCTCGGCTGTCATAAATAAATTCATTTTGTTTAAACTAATGACGAGCAGTGAAATTTTCTTCCGGAATCTTAAACTTAAATGGATAAAGCATGTGATCGATAAAAAAAAACATGATTTTTTTTCCAAGAAATCAGTTAATTTTTCATTTGTTAACTTAAAAGTTAGTTAATAATACGAAAATAAACAAATAATTTTAATTCGTTAATGGATGCCGAAAATTTTATAAATTTATCTGTTACGGTTGATTTTTAATTATTTTTTTAATTAAAAGTGCTTAAAATTTTCATTATGAAAAAAATGTTATTAAAATCAAAATTTTTAAAAATCGTTTGGGAGATCAATTTTCCATAATAAGTACTTATAAAAAATGTATATAAATTAAATTTTTATGACCAAGTGGCAAATGGGGTTCCACTTGACGTGATCTTACTCATTCTCAGTGTGACTTAGGCTACTGATATAGGCAACATTAAAGACTTTATTCTGAAACTATAGACAATATAAAGCAGAAACATATTAGTCATCAAGATTATCTTAAGTTTAAGACCGACCATTTTTTACAAAAAAAAATTAGAAATCCTATGCCATCTAAATTCGACAATTAGACGAGAGCGCAACCAGTGATTCACCAAAATTTTGGAATGACGTCAACTTAAAGAAAGGTGTGACTAGCATATCCGGATGTATGCGTTTAAATTAATCTGAGTTTAATACTCTTGAAGCAATAGTTGACGGTTTTGCAAAGTTCTTTTAATCACACTGTTCGATTCAGTCTTTGAATAATGTTTTCGTTCACATCGGTCTCATCTCAAGGGAGGATATTATCCAAGTACCAAAGAAATTAAAACCCAAAATGACTGCCGAAGTGGACAGTGCCTCTTCTGGTAATATTCAATCATGTTTTGAAAAGTTGTTGCAATTGTGTGCAACTTCGAGAAACTTCTAGAAATCATTCTTTTTAACTCACTATAGGTTTGGACAAAATCGGTAGGTGGATGTGATATACATTGATATCCAGACAGCATTTGGCCAAATTGGTCACCAAATATCACTGCGCAATTTACTAGTTCTAAACATTTTGTTGCTAAGTGACAAGTACCCTAAGCGTCGATTTTATTTCCTGAATTCATTTATTTATTTTGTTTACACAAAATCATACCTTTTTATTGAGCGTAAAAGCTCAAAATATTTTCACTTTACGCTGCATTAAATTATCGTCCAAGGTAATTTGATTAACTTTTGTTGCTGGAACTGTTTTGCTTGGAGTCTTTTAAGCTTAGACTTGTTTTTCTGTGACCACGCGGTATAAACTCGTCAATAATCAGAGAATCCCTTTTTTAATTCCACGCTTTAATTCATTGACATTGAAAGAAAGTTTACTGGTGTTAAACCAGCTATTTAGCTGTACAAGTGGTAGAATTAATTCTGTCTTCAAGAGGAGCTTAAGCCTGAACATTCGCCAGCAAACTCTGATAAACTCAGAATAAATAGATGAGTGGAAAGAACATTGATAAAAAGAACAGCATATTAGATTCCATATTGTTCTATTCTATTGAAAAGAACTTCGGAGTTTATGCAGTGAAACGCCCTGCTAACATCATAAAATAACCCAGCATGGACTCCCAAGCTGAGCGTAGTTAATAGCTTATGTTGATTTACCCGTCCTGCTGCGGAGCTGATTTTATGACAAAATTTTGCATTTCCTTAAGTAATGAGTTTTTGTTCATGTTTGACGACTTCTTCATTTTATCAACTTCTTTATTGGGGGCTTATATAAAAAAGTTTTTCATAAAACAGTTCCTTGATACTATTCCATTATTCTTGATCTCAAAATTCTATGGCGTTTTTCCACTTATCTCAGATACAATCGACCACTTAGTCTCATTTTTATTTTTTCATTTAGTTTGGGTTCCAATCACCACCAATTCAAATTTGTTATATTCTGCAGCCTTGAAGGAAAGTGTAAAGCGAATTCACCTATTTCTCATATGCCCTTGATAGGTTCTACTCAATCTTGCTGCATAAACTTCTGGAGGTTCGTGTAGAGGGCATTTGAAGGTACTATTACTTAATATTTCTGATAAAATTATTGTTTCTCATTCTGTAAGTTCTTGTTATTAATGACAACTTAAAAATGTAATTTAAGAATATATTCAAAATACTACGACCTTGTCAAACTTTAATTGTCTTTATTTTAATTTTATTTAAGTGTACAGCAATTTAAATTTTGATGCTACGAATAATACTGGAAAATTCTTAAGTCTCTTTAATATATTCTGGTTCGACCACATCAGGAATATTTGCTCAGTCGTGTGGTTTATTGCATATAATATTCATATTAAAGGCGGTTTTATTGCTTCACGGATGAAGTGATCCAAAATTCAACAGGAGAAATCAAGAAATGTGCCTACACGCCTTGAAAATGTTTATTGTAAATTTTTCATATCTTTGAATTACGACACGATACTTTACGCACAGTTGCCGGATCTATTTTATTTATTTACATATTTATTTATCAACGGTTATAACCAATTTGCAATCATTAATCAATTATCAGTGGTATCAAAAGAAGTGATGAAATTATAACTAATAAAAAAATATAAAACGGAAGTTATTTTGACACTTTGCCCGTAATTTAATGCAAGAATTTTTATGAACGATACTTTAGGGACTAGTTCATTGAGAAACCAGTGTCTGAGGAAATTTTGCGTGATGTTTTACATATTTTACTTTTTCTACGACCGTGAAGTGATAAATACAAAATACAAGCAGAACTATCAGAAAAACTGCATACCACTAAATATCTACCGAAAACATCCGATAGCTCCTGTCACTAAGGTAGCGGAAGTTCTAAAATACGTTAGTAGATCTCAAGCCTAGAAATATGAACACTTAATAATATTGCAATGAATACATGTTTTAAAAAGTATTATATCTAATCTTAGCTTAAAAACTGAATTCTGCTGATATAGATATTAAAACAGTTATATTATTACCAAATACTCATACCCTACTATAAAAAAACAATCCATCACACCAATAATAAAATATAGAAAAGCAATGGCGCCAATGTCCTCCCTGAGGAATTCCCGAAGTTGCTAGATGAGACGAGAAAGGAAATGATGTACTTTAACTGTCTCACTTCTATCACCTGAACTCTATGACAAGTCTTTGATTCCTATAGGACACAGATG